ATCTTCTCCCAAATTTGTGGAAATTCCGGGTCAATTGTTTTATTATACCTACTTTACATGACCATAAGATCTTGAATTTAGTCTAATACGCCTTACATTGGTATTACTAAGACATTGGCTATAAAGAATTGATGTCATGGGAAGCGTCATACTGAACTAGGGCGATACACAAAAACATTTGCTTAACTCTATGTTTGTGTGATTTGACAACTTTTGAGTTCTTGCTGTTGTTAGTTCGAGTTTTTGACATGAGGCGGGTAGCTATTGAAGCTAATTTAAAGCTTGTTTCCAAGACTTGTTTTTATTTTCAGTGAACGATGTAATCGAACGTATATATGACAAGATTTAAAATGGAAGTGCCAAATGTGAAATCTGAGCTTTGAAATAAATGTAATAACGATAAGAAGATGCTTAACTAAACAAATCTCATAAATAAAAGAGACAAATTGATGGCAAATATTAATCATACTGAAATATATAAATGGGTCCACAAATTGTAAAAATGTAAATGTGGTAATAGAAAGCCTTGCATTTGTAATGCAACATAACAAAACGGAAACTATATGAACAAATTTTTAGAGAAAAAGAATCACAGGAGATTATTATTATTATGAACTTAGATTTTGAGAAGACTGAGCTAGAAGTGCAAATCGGTATAAACAAAATTTTCAGATCATATTTACGGGAGAGAAAGCAATTAGTTACTATAAACAGATTTGTGGCTGAACCATAATATTAATATCCGTTCGCAAAACTCCCGCACTGTCAGTGTCAGATTTGGAAAAAATGACCTGAGTGTACTCAGTGGTGAGATGTGAAAAACCTGTACAATAGGTTGCAAAATTGCAATCTAGTGACAAATTAGTAACTAAAAATAACTTGTCAAATAAAAATGTCAAAAGCACATTAACTGAAGATTTTTATCAATTCAAGTAAAGAAAGAGTATGACACACGAACGACAACGAAAGCTTTTTTTGAATAATATATATTTTTGACCTTACTGTCCATTTCTACGCTTCTGGTGCTACAATTTCTTTGAATTACTGACAAGTTCTTTAAACACAATGAACACTTCAGCAAATCAAAAAGTTAAAATAGTTAATAAACATTTGATTTTTCATTCAATAATTTTGAAAATTTGAAATTCAAGGCGGTAATCATATAGGTAAACTTAAAAATCTTTTAGGGGATTATTTCTCATACCAACAAAATGTCATTCTGACAGTGCGGGAGTTTTGCGAACGGATATTATATTGCATTATCTGGTGTCCCACAGGACCCAATTCTGGGTCCTCTACTCTTTTAATTTTTATGTTGACGGTTTTTATATAGACGGTTACACTGAATTCTTTTGCACCACTGTATGCAGATGCAAAAATTTATATGAAAGTAATAACTATTGAAGATTGCCGTGTTCTACAAAATATACTAATTATTTTGCAAGGATACGGTGAACTGAATAATACACCCTTAAATGTGGCTAAAAGTGCTGTTATGACAGTTACATAAGAGAGATGAATCCTAATTTATACGATTATAGACTGGAAGGCGAACTTATAAGCCAAGAAAAGTTGTGTGGAAGATTTGAGAGTTACATTTGATTCGAAACTTGATTTCCATGAATTCCATGCACATGGAGACAGGTTAGTAATAATATTAAAGTAAAATAATGATAATTTGCAAAAAAGTTTAATTTTTCAAGCAAGTAAAAGCACTGATGATGAAAATAATAATTGCACCTATGAAGTTTTCTGAAAACAGATGACGTAAAAAGTAATAAAATCTGACAGTTAAAAATTAAATCATGATACACGGAAGACGAAGTAACTCCGGATGTAAGTATATAAAATCGTATATAGAGAAAATTTTAACAAGTATATCCAAAATTAAATTAAGTACAGTTCAAACGAAGACGAAAAATGTTTCTGTCCAAGTTTTCAGCCATTTCGTTTGGGAAATATGATATTTTAGAAGTCTTGGACTGTTGTGATGATATTATAACTATAGAATTTATTTTTTTGGTCCTATATACTTATATATCATAAATTACGTATAATTTTAATTGATTGGTAAATCTGAAAGGAAGCAACAGATTAAAAAAAAATTCTGAGATTTCTATGTCCTAAAACGTTAGCCTATTCGCCGTTTTGACGAAAACCATGCCCCTTTTCCCACTTAATCGTAAATTCCAATTAAGTGACTGAAAAATACAGTCAACTTTGGAGAATAATTTCAATATCTTTTATGGAATCTGAACCTAATGAGGTCACAACCTGACATATGTTGCAGGACCTGGGGGCTTCCAAAGCACACAGGCTTAAACCCATCGACACATTAATGCCAGCCGCGAGCCAAAAGCGGCTCTTTTGGTCTCAAACACTCAGCTATTTATTGTGTTTTATTATGTTCAGCCACATTCAACTTTAGTCCGACTGTTGCAGGCCCAACACAGGGTAGCTCACCACAAGAATTATTTCGTATATTATGCTATGAAAGTCTGGGTAGTTTATTTTAATTATTCTGCGTTGTACTAATAAATAATAAGAGTAAAATGCATTACTACCATTCGAGTAATATTAAAAGTGAACACTACACAAAGTCAAAATAATTGTCAAAATGTGAACTTTTTTTTGTCATGCTGAGTTGAACTTTCTTTGAACTTTGTGCAACATTACAGAATGTTTTCGAACAAACTGCACAGTCCAAACCTTGGATATTCGTCATTTACATATATTCTATAATTTACTTCACCTTTTTCTTGAACACGTTGTCTTATATTTTTACTACTATGCGTCGGTTGCATAATCTGATTTCTCCACATACTTCCCGAGCCTAAGCTATAATAATTTGGTAAACGACTACTTTCATTCTCTTTCAACGTTTCATAACCCCTAAAATATGAAAAAATAGGTCTCCCGTTTCCGTCTGTCTGTGTCGTTTTTTAGGAATATCGCGTAGGTGGTAAAACGATAACTAAAACTTGTCTGATCATTCCCACCAACAATCTGATGACGTCATCTTAACAATTTGCATAATAATGTTCAATCGAATTTTCGAAAAAGCTGGATATCTTGTAAAGCACTTCAAGATCTGTATAAATAACCTTAAATTTTTTAATAACGATTTCATATTTATTTTTAATGGTTCTGCCAACACTGGGACATAATTAAGTACTAAAATTGTTATTAAAATTTTTATATGGAATTAAAATTTCTGTTGGGATAATCTAAAAAATTTTAACAACCGAAAAAAGAATAATTTCACACTTACAATACTAGAATAAGATATCTCATTAGGTTATCGTCACGTACACAAGTTATAACGTCTTTAATTTATGTATATTTTAATATGTTTGGTTCCAGTTAATCCAAAGGAAGAATTGTAAATAAACTTTGGAAATCATGGTAAATTGATTAAGCTGCACTTATAGTCTAAATACCTTAATATCCATTATAAATTAATACGATACACTTTATAAAACAAATTAAAAAGTTTTAAATATTTTCTTTACGTAGATTCAAAGTCGTTTTCTTTGTGATAACCCATAATATTAAAATACTTACTATTAAACTACACACAAATCGGTAGGTTAAGATCTCAGTGCAAACGAGTATATTTCGCAAAATTTTTAGATGATGTCATTAAATTTTGGTTACGGTGTTACTACGTACATTGCAATTTTCAAGTAGAACTAAAATTTTATAGCAATCATTCCAGTAGTTTCAGAAATTAATTATTATACGTCTAATAAAGTCCATAACAGGCAGACGACAGACAGACAGAAACGGTAGACATTTTTGCTTTCTATAAGTTCTAAAATTAAATCTATTTCTGGGTGACACAACAAAATTGTTTAGATTAAATTTGAATTATAAAACGATTTTCAAAATGGCTGAAAGAATTTTAACTACAAAAATGGAACTACAATGATGACTTTTTTGTTCAGTAATAGTATGCATCAATTTCAAAATTTTGTTATACAATTCAGTATATTTTATATGATACTTGATTTTGTAAATTTTTCCATTGCATTGAGAATAATAATTTTGACAATCAATTAAGGTGAAACATCCTGTATATCTGTGTCCAGCTTTTAACAATAAATAGTGAGTAGCCGTTTTCGGTTTTTTGACAGTTGTAAAGTATTAAGTTAAATAAAAGGCATAAGAACGAGCTGTCAGCAATATTTATCTACCTTATTTTATTTAAATCATAAAGAATTGATTTCATGGATAGACAGATCCTTCCTCAGTAACGTTTCCAGTAGCATGATTTCCATAACAATTTAAAATCTAATAAAACGTTCTCTTATGATCATCTTTTATTCAAAAATGCAAGTCTTTTAAGCGCGTCTTTATCTTATATCTACGGTAAAAATCCCAGGTGGTCCCAAATTTTGCGCACAAAAGAACCGACCACCGTCTTACACCATAAAAAATTAGATATGGTTCTTTCACGATTTTTCTTCCGTTTAGTAGCAACGCACAAAGTCGTGTTTTTGCTGTTTTTACGCATCCTTCGTTATTTCCGAAAAAGTCGGTGGCCCAAAACTGGGTGCGGCCCCAAGTAGCCATTTTAGAAGCAATTTCCTCGTGTGCGTGTTTTCCTGTGGACATGAGGCAGTGTAGCGGCGTAAAAATAATTTAATACTTTCCTCGCCAATATATCGTCGTCACAAGGCAGTACTCGCAGCAAGTACCTCCCATTCAAGCTTTACAATGCCGCTTTGTAGACCCTCCCATATATAAAATCGGTTTGCTCGGCTCGGCAATAGGTTTCATGCTTGTTTTTGTAGAAAAACACCCCTCATGGTACGCCTTTCGATCATCAAAACTGCCTTCCCGCTATTACAATAGAAACATATGAAGCTTTTGACCAATAGTGCACGGACTCATTTTACTACCAGATGGTAAACAATTTTTTTCTCGCCCCGTACACAATGTGAATGATTGTCCATAATTCAGTTCGTACAGTGTTGTTTTAGTGGATGGGACTTTCGGTGTGAACTGAGCTTTAAAATGTGCAAAATGAAGGTTTCTTGAATATGTAGAGTACGAAAAGTTGTAATTATGGATATGAGACCGATTTTTGGCGGATACCCGTTTCAAGGTGAGTTCGCAAAGCTTTTGATACCTCGGAATGCGGCGGAAATAGAACTGATCATAAAAATAACATAATTAATAAAGGTAAAGGCGGGCGAGGTTCATCTATCACTCTGACCGCCGCCTCGGGCAAAATCAGCAATCTCAACAAATTATAGTAGTCGGGATTCGATATGGCCTTCCAAATTACTCAAGCCCACCCCTGCAAATGTGATTAAATTATCATTAAGGCTCTTCAGTGAAGAAGTGCTTTGAACGGGCTACTGTTCTGACCGATTATTCTCAGGTATATGAGGCATTTAAACTACATTGCGCCGAAGAACCTCGGTAGTCATTATGGGCCAGAATAATTGGCGACGATTACGATCTTCATGCCCTGGCAACTTGCTGATTTCGTTATGATTATATGTAAAAGTATTTGCAAAAACTAAAAAAGAAAAATTAACAGCCGGCTGAACTGTCAACGTCAACCACCGACGCACACCGCACTGTAGCTGTCAACTGTGCTGATGAATGTCCGATATTCTTTTTAGAATACGTAATTTATATATAGAGCTGTGGTGATTAATTGGTCGGGTTATGTTAAAATGGTTGATACCTGTATTTCCAGTTACATATTTCTTTAAAGCTGAGGTGCATATTAATTTATAAAGGTTTAATTTCCGACAATTTCTAGGCAAGCATAACAAAAAATTACATAAGTAATATATTATGTATTTTCTTTGAATCCTAACTACAGTACGATATTAAGTATAATGACATAAAACTACGAGGATTAATGGCAATCAGAGAGGAAAACAAATCATTTAAGATTCATTAGGACACACAGTGTAACAATATTTTTATTTTGTATGCAATATCCTGGTGTCCTCAAAATTATCACTAGATTTTTATTCCAAATGAAACATTACAATTTTTACATGTATACATCTTCTACACAACATATCCAACTAATTTTAGATAAAAGTAAAATTTTTCACCGACGATAAAATTTCACAACGTTAAGAAATTAATTATGATCATCAGTTTTAATTGTCAGTAATAAGAGTAATGTCTGCTATTCATAAGATCAATCTTTAATCAATCGTCTAACACATTCAGATCAATTAATCAAGAAGTTCCGGATTAACGAAACAATGGAATTTGTTTCGTTTCTCAATTCGCAACTCAAATTTAGTTAATGTTATATGGTAAATACCTCTGTTCTTTACGGACGTTATTAAATAAGTGTAAGGTTTCATATGTATTCCGAATTTTCGTTGTAATTTTTCACATAATTTGAAAATGGATACTTTTTTCAAAATTTTAAGATTGTTATTTATGTAACAAATGTGAGAAATGACTTTTTTAACGAGGCGTAGCGTACTACAATTAATAAATAACCGTCTAAATTCCGTGTAGTTTCGTGCTGTTTTTTTTTCTGAAATTTCTTGTTATGTTCTTAGGTTGACAGTAATTTGCGGCGTACCTATAATAGACGTAACACTATTAAAATCTGAAGTAATTACCAATAATTATAAATACTACAAGTAAGTGTAGAAACATTACCAAATTTTAAACATGGAGTACATTATAACAAGAAAATAAAGTCAAAAAATTATACAGCGTGTACACGAAAGATAAATTAATTCAGAAATTAAATTAGAGAAAAACTCGACATTTACATTTTTCTTTTTTTTTATATTTTCAAAGAAAACAAAAATTACTATCAATAATTCGAAACTAAAATTTTATTTGACACTGACTGTGTTTGGACAAGTTTAGTGTCATGATTCTTCGTTTAAAAAAAGGGCATCTTGTGTGACTTTTGTATTGTACTATTTTCTCAGTTAACAATCTGACAACTTATGACAACGAAAAACTGTTTGAATTATTAAAAATTTAGTAAATATCGACAACTTTTTTCCAGCAGTGCCAGTGGCCTAGTTCTCAAACTTTAGACAACTGCACACAGATTTTATTTTGGTTTAAAACTTAAAAAGTTGTTCTTTAAAAAAATAGATAAATATTTTGTCATATATTAATTATAAAAAAAGATTGACTTGTCAAAAAAAAATGCCAAAACGGATTTTTAAACCTTGAACGCAATTTTGTTTGTTTTCTTGAACTGGATCGGAGCAACTGCAATTTATGAGGAATTACTACAATTCTGTTTTATTATTTGAGAAAGTTACTTCCGAGTTAGTCATTGATTTATCAATATTTAAAATTTACAATTATTTTGAAATTAGTAGGGGCGGAATTATTTTATTTGGATTACTAGACTGCACACAGTATACTTCAATTAATAGGCAAATCGTGGAATTTTGAAAAAGTTAAGGGGAAAGAATCCAAACTAGGTACCTAAGTTCCATAATATAGTGATATCATTATATCAGTAAAAATCTAGATTAGTGAGCAGTTGTCATGACATAAATACAGGATCGCTAGAATGTATAGAAACGCTTAAATATCGTGAGAACCGATTGTACAAATCACCTGAAATTAGATACAGGGGTACAAGAAGTTGTGCTCTAACTATTCGTCAAAAAAATTGAAAGAAAGATGACATAGTTACTACCTTTGAAAATTATTTTAATTTGACATGTAAGATGCATGCATCTAAGTGCAACTGAGCCCATAGAATTATTTATGATTATCGTTTACGGTCACAAAAGATGAAGTTTTGCTCAGGTAACAACACATTTCAATGAAATTCATCCTGAATGAGAACCCATTCCCAAGTCGACAGTTTCAAAAATCCTGGAAACTGGAAGTGTTAAAGAACCTGGCACGCCAAAAACTGCTCCATATGATGAAAGTGCTCCTAATGTTCTCTTAGACGCCACAGAAAATCCCAAAACGTCAGTACAACAATTAGCGCTGAATCACAATGCTAGTAGAAAATCAATTCAAACAATAATGAAAAAGAAAAAGTTTCACCCATACAAGATCTATTTGGTACAAGAGCTAAACGAAGATGATTTTGATCGTAGAGTTGAATTCACCGAAATTATTATGAACAGAATACAACAAGACGGAAATTTTAACAACAGGATTTTGTTTTCCGACGAATCTACGTTTTGTTTAAATGGTCATGTGAACAGACACAACTGCAGGTACTGGTATGACACAAATCCATGCTGGTTGGAAGAAATCCACACACAGCATCCAGAAAAACTGAATGTTTGGTGTGGTATTATTGGTTACTACGTAATTGGTCCTTTTTTTATTAATGGGAATTTAAATTCTGAGGGATAGTTAAGGCTGTTGCGGGAACGTATAGGGCCTGGACTTAGAGAATTGTTTCCCAATTACCAAAATCTGGAATTACCACCAGAAACTATTTGGTTTCAACAAGACGGTGCTCCACCCCATTTTGATAGATGGATAGGCCCAAGGGGTGCTAGTGAGTGGCCTACCAGGTCACCGGATTTGACACCGCTTGACTTTTTTTCGTGGAGCTATTTGAAGAATCGCGTTTATATCAGTAGACTCATTCAAAGTGAAGACTTACAGAAACGCTAACGAAATTGCTAAAATTCGTCCAGAAATTCTCATGAAATCACTACAAAATTTTATTCAGCTCCTTTTTACTGCCAGGAAGTAAATGGGGAGCATTTTAAGCATCTTTTGTAGAAAACAGAACTTTAATTTTGGTTTCGGTTGTTATTGGTCAATTTAATTATTGTTTAATATTAATTAAAATTTATAATTATTAATTTAGTTAATTATTGTTTAATAATTTATTTTGCCATTTCAATCAGAAAAAAATTATAGCAATGAATTAAGAAAAAAAGCTCTATTCAAAAATGCATTAATTATATGGTAGCGCCATTTAAAAAAAAAATGAAGTTTGCCTTGCATCTCGAAAACGAATGAAGCAAACAATTTTTTTTAACGAATAATTGAAGGAGGAGTTCTTGTACCCCTATATCTAATTTCAGTTGATTTGTACAATTAGTTGCCACGGTATTTAACTATTTCCATACATTCTTGCGACCCTTTATAATACATATAGCATTAAAGTAAAAGCCCATTTCCACCGACAATATTTAGAATCAAATTTATTCTGAATACAAGCACTCTGTGGAAAATAAGTAGTACATTTTATCCTTTTTGAAAAAAATTACAAGTGTGGTACACAATTTTCAATTTGAAACTGCAAAAATCTTTCAATATGGTCTAAAGATCAAAAGAACAGCAGCACTATTATGCACGATTTTTTTTTTCACAAAGATTAGCCAGCGCTTCAAAAAATATAATGTCAATCTTGTGTGTGTTTTGATTCTATAAGCCAAACGAATCAGAAACTATAGAGCAAACTACTTTAATTATCCGAAACGCTAAATTGTCAGTTATTAAGCTTCCCATTTCTGATATAGAAGGCATCGTTTTAAAAGCAATTAAAGCCAAAGCAATTAACACTAGAAATTTAATGAATCTTAATTTAATGGGAGAATTAGCGATCACAGTTCACCTAACACAGTAATACAGTGGTAATATATTTATTAACAATTATAGTGTTGGCAAAGGTGGCACATTAAATGTTTATTTTTTTCAAAACAGGTCAAGGACGTGTTAACCAACTTGGAGGTGTATTCATCAATGGTCGTCCTTTGCCAAATCATATCCGACTGAAAATCGTCGAAATGGCAGCCGCCGGTATCAGACCTTGTGTTATATCCAGGCAGTTGAGGGTATCACATGGTTGCGTTTCAAAAATTTTAAATCGCTATCAAGAAACGGGAAGCATAAGGCCGGGAGTAATTGGTGGTTCTAAACCGCGAGTTGCTACACCTGAAGTGGAAATGAGGATAGAGCAAATGAAGAAGGACAACCCTACCATATTTTCGTGGGAGATCCGGGAGAGACTAGTTAAGGTAAACATAACAAACTTCTTTAATTGCGACTATTCTAAGTAGTATCAATAAACGGTGCAGAGCTGCAAACGCCACGTTTGAGTTTTTTATCAAAAGAGAGTTATGGGAAAATTCACGAAATTCTCAAATGCAGTTAAAACATTAAGGTCCAGTTTTATACGGTCAAATTGACTAAATCAAATTTCTGAGAGCGAATTCTTGCGGAAAACCGGCAGTGCAATCATGCACCTGAACCTCGCGTTGGAGCAATTATTCTACAAGTGGTTAACCATACGACACAAAAAAGGGTTAACTTTATCTTCAAATTCACGCATATTCAGCAGCGGTCATACTACACATTAAATATAAAATGCAAAGATATCGAATTACAACGCACTTTTAAGGAAGATAATATTTAGAGATCTCTGGTAAATCGTGATAATATAAATTCGTCCCACTAAAATTTTTATTGCATTTTTGCACAATTTCTTCTATTAAAATCAATCAAATTTTTGAGGCACTTAAGCGGGCAACAACAATGACTATAGTTGAAACAATATTTAAATACCTTGTCAAAACTAAACGATGATGAGACCAGAGTTATTATCCGCAATCCCCCACGTCATTGTTCCTGCGTTATCGTCTTTTCAGTCAACCTCGTTACTTTCAAAGTTCTTGCTTAATTTTTCAGTTTTACGCTTAGAACTTAGGCTAATCATTTGAGTACATAGTATATCGTGTGGGTACTCACAACCGCAAAGCAGGGACGGATTTAAGAAGACGCCAAAGAAGCAGTTGCGTGGGAGTCTTTGAAAGGATGTTCTAAAATTTTAGAGCTCATTAACATTTTCAGTTATATCCTATTTCCAGGTTTATCTCATTATTAACCGTTCTTTAACATTTTCATCTATCGCTGTTTTAATGTTATAGTCTTTATATTAAAACTTGTCTACTACGTTATTTAATGAAAGTCGCGAAGTGTAAGGATATTGCGTAGAGTCATTCTATCGTAATGAATATGTTAGGGTAAATGTGTACAAGAGTACGCACTTAGTGTAAAACTGTCGACAACTTTTTAATTTTTTTGGATAGACAAATTTTATGATATAGGTTCGTTATATACATGTTTAGAGATCAGATATATTTAATTGTACGTCTCAACACCACTATATTTTAAGAGTAATTTCAATTTTTGTCAAGATGTGTAAATGCGCACTCTTAGACAGTTCATTGCACAAGAGTGCGCATTTGAACGCTTATGAGTACGCATTACATTTTATGAAAAAAAATTTGTTTCTAAGGTGAAAATAAATGGGAATAAGTGACTACAGACTACACATAAAACGGGAGACCTATTTCTTCGTACTCTAGGGGTCTTGAAAAGTCGAGAAAACGTAAAAATAGAGAGTCGGTCGACGGACTCGATTACAACACGCTCAGGACGTAAAAATAAAAAAAAAAACACCATAACCACCACCACACAACTTGAAAAGCAGTACAAAGTAGTAGAGTTAAATAATTCATTATCGTATGATATGCATCTCCAAGACTATTAGACTACGTATTGCAAGCAATGCGCACTCTTATACAATACCTCGCTGCGCACTCTTGTACATTTGTACATAACCTAATGTTTTCAAAGTTAAAAGCCTTTGATGGATAGAAAGTATAAAACTGTTAGTGTATAACGAGACCTTAAAAGTTACAACTAATGAAAATTATTACTGTAAAATAAAAGAACTGGTACGTACCTTACAAAAAACTAAAACTATGAGCGGTAAAAATTACATCCACACAACGTGTGAACATAAATTCGTCAGTACGACCAAACTATAAACTATATTCAGGTCACTTGTGCACCTTTATCTCAGGTTTAGCATTAAATTCTGAATGGTATAACTTCATCTTACCCAGATGGCACTAATAAACAGAAATCAGCAGTGCGTACTCTTATACATATTCGCACTCTTGTACACATTTACCCTACTACTCCAAATATAATTTTATAATATTTATTATTACTCATTTCCACTTCCTCCTAGGTCTAGGCCAATTTTTGTGGTTGTGCATTTGAAAATGCCGCTTTCTTCTTCTTATAAGTATTTGATTAGCAACATCTATGACACAACTTTGACAGGTCAAGCGGGAAATTCCATATTTTTTTGTAAAATGGAGACCTAGTGATAAAATATTTAATCTGACCTATCACCTTCCTTAACAGAAAACTACTGTTAAGAAAGGTGATAGGTCAGATATTATGAATTACAGGCAAATAACAGTAATTAACAATATAGGTAATGTGTTTGAATTTGTCATATATGATAATACTTTTCACTAATTTCCAACAAAATATCACTCAATCAAAATGGCTGACTCGAAGATCAATTAATTCTTAGTAAATCTAGTCTCCATAACTCAATTTCTGTGTAGTAATCAACATCAGGAAGCAGACGTAGTATATACCGATTTCTCAAAGGCGTTTAATCGTTTTGATCAACTACTTCTACACATGCTCGTGATGTCCTTGGTTTTTCTGATGACTGTATTAAATTTATTGTTTCATATTCATAGATCTCAGTTCGTTCATATAGAGAATTTAATTGTATGCAATACTCGGGTGTTTCTCATGGTGCCCTTTTGGGTCCGTTATTTTTTACTATTTATATAAACGATATTGTTAACAACTAATACGTTTCTACATTTTGAATAACAATGAATAGAGAGCATAATAGTGAAAGAAGGTCGATCACAGAATTAGTTAATAAGAACGACGGAAGAATTACTAACGACGTCAGAATTAAAAGAGTATCGGAAATATGTGGTGACCACACGTTGTTTCTTGCGAAAAATTAGAAAACACAAACAAATTAAACATAAAAGTAAGAAAATACAACACGAAAAAATAGATCATACAAATTAAAAACAAAAGAAATTCAAGACACTAGAAGATAAATTTTCAACCAAATTAAAGAAAAAAGCGGTAAATACAACAAAGACGACCGCAGAAGAAATATGGGAGCTGAGCTAGAGAATGCTATCAAGGATTACTATGCATAAAATAACACATCTTTTAAAGAGCAAGATCAAGACAAACAAGAAACATAAAACGCAACCAACTTTTGCTGTATGCAGATGATTCTTAAATTATCTTTAACACGTAACAGTAAAAATTCTATAGAAGAATATTGATGCAACCCGGAATACGAGTACAGAAAAACAACCTCAGCCTGAATGCGAATTGTCAAAATATACTCATAACTATGCCATTAAAAATAAAAGTCTAAAACGATTATGGTGTGAATTTCGACTTTAAACCATCATTTACACATCATCATGTTGAGGGTATTTTCCGTTGTCATGCAGGGTGTTGGTCACTTCCGCGCCACGGTTAGGTTACCCCTTGTAGCAGGTTTAATTTCCAAAAAGGTCATAGACACTTACTCGCAAATAGAAGATTATAAGGTTTGTCATTGCCTACAGGTTCCTAGCGGATAAGCCTCATACATTATAATCTTATGAGTTTTATAATAAGTCTAGCATCAATTGCGCGCAATTGTCCCTTTCCTCTCAGGTAGTAGTGAGATTAGGACCACCTCCAGATTTTTCTGACCATGGCGCCCAACTGACCCATGCTCGTCATACAAGACCTTAGGATTTATTTTACGCAACTTTAGTACTTAGGATACGCAGATATTTTTATCTAAAATACACAGTTTTAATGTAGGAAATCATTTGTTACACTACGAAATTCCGAAAACTAATATTCTAGAGAGCGTTTTTTTTTTACCGCTGATTTTGACATCCTCTCTCTAAACGCACGTAAATTCTAACAACGAAGCAAAAATATATGCATATATTTTTTTAATACGTAACTGTAATTATGTTGGCTTAATTCGACCTAAGTCTGTCAGCCAACGATGTTACAAAAAGTGCATCCACTTCCTCTCATAAGTCGCGATCGGACGATTTCGTAAAAAATCTTGGATCAGGATAAAGGATAAAGGTGTAGTTCCCCTAAGAGCTACCAAATTATCTCCGTGTTCACGCTCCATTACCGTCCGCTCACCATACATAATACATCTGTATCTTTCGCTGCACGGGGAAGTCGTCGAGTCCTCCGCCTCTGGTGCGAGGCGCAAGCAAAAAACCCGAAGAAAAGGGGGCGTTGCTGTTCGTTTATCGGGCCCGGAGCGGTGCAGATACGTTGCGACGACATACACGAAGGTCCTGCGAGCAAGAGTGAAGAACCGGTGGGTCCGCGAGATGCTATCGCCAGATGTCCCGGCGGTAATTTGAGGGCGGTAACATCGGCACGCTCGCTACGTCAGGACCACTATTATCATTGTGATGTGTCCTCTGGCACGCTGCTGGCCCTTTGATCCGATGCCGACACACGGCTATCATCGTCGGCGGACACTCCGTGGTAGCACACGAGACCGGTGCGAACGTGACGTACTGTTATCGGGTACACCGACGATGATAACGTGGACTTCCGTGCCATCGATCGCAGCTACAGATAATCCGGGATCGATACGATCGATGACAGTTGATGTTGACAGCTATGGTGCGATCAAAGCCTCGGGCGGAGATAAACGGCACAGATAATCGCCATTTTTCTCGTGTGGAAGGTGCTGGAAGTCTTATTGAGGATAAGGCCTAAGGGAAGCGTGAACGGAGCGTTGAACATTACGTCAATCAAAGATTTTTTTCTTATATCGGAGTTGTAAGTTTAGTTTTTTATTAATATCAGTGCAAAAAATGTTTCAGACAGTGATATTAGCTACAAACTCGTTGTTTATAGCACCGTTCGTGCCTTTTTGAGGTCGGTAACTCGGCACTGGCATTAACCCGTAATGTGGCTAATGTTCGTCGCAAACAATGGGCAGTGTAGCGTTTTACATTTGACAGATCTAAAGCAACTACTTCTGGGGTGGTAAATAAATGATAATTTCTGATTGTCTGCAACCTATCTGTGACACGGTTCATAAACATCTACCTACATTAATTTTTAGTGACAAACAGTATTGGCATCGTACACTGTATATTTAATTTCTATAATATAATAATAAAGGTATTGACTTCGGAAATAGAGGAAGGAACTTATGGTCCTGAAAAGCTGACTAACTTGAACACCGATTACAATCAGTGAATAAGATCTTGGTTCCGTTTTGGTATTCTGCCACTATAACATTTTTGGATATATTTAGTTCAATAACATACTTCCGTATATCTCCTATATACAAGATGTTTTTGAAAGATATGCAAAAAAATTCTGGTAAATCTGGCCATCTTGGATATGACGTCCCTCATTTCTAATACAGGCTTCCGCATGCCGAATCATATCCGGAATAGCTCTAATGTCTGTCTCAACTTCCTGAATGCGATTTCTGAGGTGCTCAACTATGTCCAACGGGGCCTGGTACATCAACTGCTTCATGGTCTCCCACAAAAAGAAATCGCAAGGACATCCTCTAAAAGATTGCCGAAGATGTTAGTCTCTAGACTCTAGACTCTAAATAAGCGATGCCTGTTAATCGAGGTGGTAAAATGTATAAACCTATTAGGTGGTTTCCCAACATTCCCGCCCCAACCATTGACACTGAAACGATCCTGAAAGTGTGTTTCTTGAATTGAGTGGGGATTCTTGTCTGACATGAGTGAGAATTAAAAATACCATCTCTGATAAATGTTGCTTGATCTAAATTTAGATCTTCCCGGTTTTTTTGAAACAACCATTCACAGAACGCAACCCTTTTTGGCAAATCGTCAGACTTCAAGTATTGTTCCCATATTCGATAGGCCAATCTTCGCATCCTTGTTCCCGGATTTTTTCCACGATATTTAAAATTTCGACTTACGCATTTAGTGCTTAACTGGTTCTTTGTCGACGCCAGTCCGACGGACGTGGACGAAATCCTCCATTTTCTCGAAGACGCTCAGTGCCGGATTGAGGACATGGGGTCCACCGAGAAATTTAGAAAGTGCGGTCCTGTAGTATTGTATACACATATTGTTTAGGTATTATTACTATTATTATTATTTTCAGTTTTGCCGGCGACATTGGCGTTTTGTAAAAATTATGTTGTTTTTGGTTTTTGATGACACTACCAAGAGAAACAAAGCTAGTAAAACAATTGTGGAAAATTATTTTAACAGAACTTTCTTCGTCCTTGCAGTCTAGTCCGACAAATTCCGCTTCTTTAAAAAATTATAAAATTAGATTTTGCGATGTTCATTTTGTGATAACTCTATAAAATGACATAATTAACATCCCCGCAATTCCTGCGTCTTTAAATATGAAATATATTTAAAACATATAACTACAGGAAAAAATTTTAACATTCTCAATTTCTCAGTATATGCTTAACTTCGACTGTTTATGTTTGTACTGTATCGAATTCGATTTTTAGCACGTTCAGATTACAAGCATTAACGGTTAAAGGAAAATGAAAATTGGTTGATTTTGTGTTCTCAATGCAGAGAAACAGACACAAAACAATTTTAAAATATCTTCATGATTACACAGCATTCAGTTTTTGCAATTTCAAAGTTAAATACAATGTTGATTTATTTTCCAAAATCTGGAGGCCAAGGCTAAAAAGTCAACACGGATTCATAATTCACATATACAAGACTATGTTCTTTTATAAAATTTAAAGAACATTTGTTCAGTAGAATTTTAAGATGACGTGATAATTTTTTGGGAAGGCCTTAATCGAACAAATTTTGATTAACAATTTACCATTTTTCCTATAACCTTAAAACTTTTGGGAATACGTCAGATATATGATTTAAGTACATTCGCTTTTGCACTTTTAAAGTTAAATTGTAAAATACAATTTTGAATTTTTTCCAAAAATCTCGATGTCTAGAGGAAAAACTCAACAAGGATTCTAAATTATACATACATAGAGTATGATAATTCTATAAAATTTAAGGAACATTTGTTCTACAAAATTATAAAATGATTTTTTAGCGGCCATAAACAAAAAACATTTGATTAACGATTTACCATGCTTACGATATTCTTAAAACTCTTGCAAGTTTTCAAAGAATTTTGATTTTTCTCTCAAAAATCTGGATGTCTATGGTGAAAACATAGATTCATGAATCACACGTCCAGGACTATGTAATTACCTATATAAAATTAAATAAATGTAATATCAAAAGAAGGGGGCAAATTAGTAGTAAGTAAAATGGTACGTTTCACCCCACATTTTGTTTTTTAATTTATTATAAGCTAATTTATAATTTTTTAATTTAATTTAATTAACAATCAGCGGTTTCTATATGGATCCGCTGGAATCATGGTCAAAATCTTTAGAAATCCATACCTTTTTAAAAAATAACCTCAAAAATGAGGTGAAATGTTAAAAAATGCATTAAGAAAACTTGACGACAAAAATAGACTTTTTAATTTATAAAAAACCAATAAAAAAAACCTTCGACGTCAAAATTGGCCTGCTTGCTTAAAAAATGATATAGTACCTTAAAATAGATGAAAAAATAAGTAAAAAAATACCTTACACAGTAAAAAATGATTTGTTAATTTCTACAACAACAGTTTTAGTTAATAATTCGCAGTTAAATTTAACACTAAATTGCTGTCGGAACAGCAAAATTTAGAATTCAAAAATTTGCTTGATCGAAATATTGTTGACTTCCCGTTACATTCTGTTGTTTTAACAATTATATTTTTGTCCTTTTTGAGCTGCTCATATAACGAAAAAGTTTGTACTAATTCGCAACTGATACGGTACATTTCTGCCCTTCTGAATGTAAATTGGACATTATTGTTAGTAATAGTGAAACTAACTTTTTGTTGTGTTTTGTTAAGGGAACAGCTTCCACAACTAATGTTTATGACTAAATTAACTGTTTAATCTTGGTAAATGGACGACCAAGAATTTTAGATCACAAGCAACATGGTACAATTTCATTTGGTAAAGGCTACATTTCACTCTTTTGTTGTTCATTGAATGCAGATATTTTTGATAATGCAATAACATACCACTGCTATTTTAACAGAACCCAAGTGATGAAACCAACAACTTGCATGTGTTCAATCATTCGCAAATTAAGTGGACATACAATTACTCCGGTTCATAGATGTCCCAATCGGGATAGTTTAAATATCCTACTTGTTGATTCGAACCACATTTTGTTTCTGTTTTTAACAAAATGCATCAACCAACCTCACAACTAAGCCAAGTGAAATCAACAACTTGGATATTGTCAACTTGCACATACAAAAGTGCCACTGACTTCGGGAAGTGCTGAACTACCCATTTATGTTGTAAAAATTAATACTTGCAACTGTATTCGGGTTAATTCGACTACACGAATGAGTTAGGTATGTGTGTTTCCCGCTCCAGCGTCAGCATTCGGTGCATTCTGTGTGCATTGTTGGGCTCTGCGTGGAGTTTCGTTTCCAAAAAGATTGCACAATGGTAAGTATTAACAATGTTTTATTTTATAACTAAATGGGGATCCTTTTTATCAATTGCTTAATCGGTGCCAAAGCCAAATATTGCATGTTTTAGTGTAATCTGTATGCTACGTGACATATGAACGATAAACTACGCACCACTTTGCTCCTTTGTTTCTTGAAGCTACGATATTTGGGTTTGGACCAATACGTTAACCTTGAAATTGTGTTATACCAAAGTACCCTCTCTTTCAATCTCATATGAAAATATTTTCTTTAGACTGATAACAATTACGAAATCGACTTTACAAATACCTTCATAAACGCGTGCCCTTCCACATCCACAACGTATTATGTAAGATTACGTTATAAAGAAACACTGGTATGGGCTTCAGTTAGCGGCAATTATGAATCTATTAAACTTAAAGGTTTGTATGATCTGCGTTAAAAAAGTAATGCATGTATACCTAATTTAATACACTTCAGCTTCTCAGTGTTTCCCAGAATTATTGGGATCCTCTTTCAACATACGTGATTCGGATGGAGCTATAATAAACGAGGATTTTATAAACGACTTTTTAAACATTTCCAACAAAGGGGTAATACTGAGTTTTGTAAAGGACGATGAAGTCATAGGTATTTTAATTATTTAAAAACTATTAGACATTATATAAGGTAAACTATTGAACGTGTTAAATAACAATACTGAAAGGTACCACTCCAATCGCTTAGCGAGTTTACAATTGCTTTGAGAGTATTTGGTCCATTTGCCTTTGCACTATATATGTACCTATATGGAAATACAAAATAGTGTTCTGCTCAAAAAACACGTAAAACTGAGGCAATTTCAGTCATTTAAAAAAACATCAGAGACAAAGAGTTTATGGTGGTAAACATTTAAAACTTTTAAAATTGCAATATTTTACTCAAAAAGATATATCAGTATAGTAGATATAGTTTAGAAAGTTGTCAGATCATAAATAATAGCCAATGTTTAAAATTACTGGCAGTATTTTTTAATCGATAGTAGGAAAAATAGTGCTTGCTCGTTTTTGCACTCTTAATAATTCCATTAATCATCAAAATTAAAATTTTAGAACAATTGCCTACGGAGAGAAATATAAATTCTCCTGCCTTTTCAACCTATTCATTGGCATATACCGGAGGAGTTAGTAGTGCCAGTACGGAAACTTTGCAGTCCTTGCCTACGTCCCCGGCACCATCCGATATCTGCTCAAATTTCGATGAAGATGATGATTCTTATTCATTAATAGTTTCCCCTACTGGTAAGAAGCGACTAAAGACATCATCAATTTCATACCACAATTTAACTGATCACGTATGTCGTTATAATGGTAACAAGTTACTATATATGTATCACCAATGATACGTTTTAGGAATTCAAAAACTATTTGTTATCTGATGCTTGGGGCAAACAAGTAATCAGCTACTATAAAGAAAATAGAACATTAGATGACAAACATAGGATACGATTGGTGCATATCGCAGTTGATCATATGTTACAATTTATGCCCCCCAATACTTTACCTTCTGCTGAAACGAGAACACAATATGCTAAATGCATAGTAACACTGTTCCCAAAATTGAAAGATGTACATACTGACGAAGGATATGTAAGTATGCCTTCATCGTGCGTATTTTAAAATGTTAGTATACAGGGTGTCTTTTTATATTTATTTAAGTTTAAACGACGAGCTTCACATTTCAAAATGCATGACAAATTATTCAAACTACACATATTTATCAATAAAAAAGATACCTTGTACATTCTAAGGTCACCACATCAACTTGTACTGCCGATCTAGTGCAGTAGCTTTAGTATAACCGTCTATTTAGTATAGCCAATTTCAAGTTGAATTTTGCGATAGTTGCAAGTCTCCGTTACCATGGGAGATACGATGACAGTAGTTACGATACAATGCGACTTGTGATTATCGCATTATCGTGATTAAATTGGGTCCTTACAGATAATAAATTGTTCCATGTTATTAACAATATTTTAGGAAGCATTTAGGGGATTCATCGTTGGCCGCTTACGAACTGTTTTTAGAGATAAAAAAGTGAAAAAAGGAAATTCTACAATTCAAGAGAATTCCACAGTCAGTAGTGATGAGTATGATGAGAGTGTTCAAGAAACCATAGAGTTTTTGAAGGCAGCAACGCAGGAACAGATAAAAGATATTTTTAAACGTACAAGACAGACATTTGACTTTAGAAACAGTCACAGACAAGATATCGATAAATTATTTCCCAGGTTTTTTGATACGCCTGGCTTAGTAAGGGTGAAAATACTTTTTGTTAATTTATTTGAAATTTTGTTTTCTAGATAAGTTTGGAATTTTCTCTAATGTTTCCTGAAAATGATATATTTCATAAAACTTTTTCAAAAAATATTTCCATAATTAAAAAACTATACACAACAACAGCAACAAATATAAACACAAAGTTTTTACACGAAGAAAATAAGGACCCCCAAGGTACCAGATTAATTAAAAGATTTTATCTTTTAGAGGTATGTATCTAACATATTTTATTTTCAGATTGGAATGCAACTACCAATGCAATTTTAATGTTGGTTTACTTGTTACCCCCAACTAGCTCTAAAAATGCAAGAAAACAAAGTGCCGCTACAGCTGCAAACAAACTTATAATATTTAAAGATATGCAAGTACCTTTCACTACTATTTTGAAGGAAAGACCATCCAAACAACCGTTCATACTGGCAATTGGAACATCCAAAGCTGCAATAAGTAAATATTACGTAGTATTTGACGAACACATAATCCCTTCTCCTGAACAAAATGTAATAACTGCGTTTGATCTTTGTTTTAAAGTACATTTTGTATTTAATTTAGATTTTGAGAAATCTCTAGAGTATTTTTATAAATTTGTTCAAAATGCGTTTTATAATTTAGAAGTAAAGACAATATCCGATAGAATTCGTTGGTTGAGAACTAAAATGGATCACTTGATGTCGCCATCAAGCGATGAATCTGAATAAAGAAATACCTAAATATCATTTTTACACTGTTGTGTTAACATTTTAGAAGTATTTTTTAGTTTTTATATTAGTTTTAAACATGTTTTCTTGTTTTTTATGTACTTTTAGTAATTTAGCGTTAGGTAAATTTTTGAAACATTTACGACAGGTGCATGCTTTGTACGATAACGAAAAATTAAGATTAAAATGCTTTAGTTGTACCAACATATATGAAACTTTTAGTGGATATAGGAGACACATACAAAAATGTAACACACACAAAATTAATAAGGATCGTTCTTCAATCTCTAATGTTGTAAAACCTCAAACTGAGTTAATATGTGCATCTACTAACGAACATTTTGATTTTGGATGTAACCTAACATCAAATACTAATCAGAAATCGTTAAGTGATTACTGTGCGTCATATGTTTCGAGTTTATACTCTCTGGGTTTACCAGACTCGACCATTCAAAATATCCTAGAAATGAATGAAAAATTACTAAAAATAATTTCGGATACACGAATCAGTAGCACCATAGCTGTTCAGAATGCATTTTCAGATATTAACACAAAATATAAAAGAGAATTGTATTTTAAAAAACATATAGTTGAACCTATTGAAATTCCAATAGGCATAAGATACGACCAAATATGGAATAAGGAAAAGTTTGTCTACGAACAAATCCTGATGTCATGTCATTTTATGTATGTTCCAATTTTAAAAACATTACAATTCCTTTTAAAAAATGACTCTTTTCGAAAATTATTATTTCAAAAACCCAAAGAAAGTCACCCCAACATTCTTTCTGAATTTTCACATGGAAGTATTTTCCGAAAGAGTGCATTTTTTAAAGAAAACCCTCATGCGTTTCAGCTGCAGCTCTACTTCGATGAATTTGATACGGTAAATCCATTAGGATCCAAAACGGGAGGACACAAAATTGGAGCAATTTATATGATGATAAAGAACTTACCCGCTCAGTTAAATTCAGTTTTGGAGAATATTCATTTAGTTGCTTTATTCTATGCCAATGACATAAAGAAATTTGGCATGAACTCAGTTCTAGATATCATTGTTAAAGATATTAAAATTTTAGAAGAGCAAGGAGTTTATGATGACGTTGCAAAGACATTTTTAAAAGGCACAGTTGTCTCACTTAGTCATGACAATCTGGGTGCTAATCAAATTTTTGGCATGGTAGAATCTTTTTCCTCAACTAACTATTGCCGCATTTGCATTGCTAATAAAACAGACGCACAAAGTAGAGCCATTCAAGATGAAAGTTTATTAAGAAGTGATTTTATGTATGAACAACATTGTAGATCGCTAAAACAGGAAACCGATCTTTCGAAAAGATCTAATAATACGGTCTGTGGCATTAAATTCCGAAGTTCCTTAAATAATCTTACTCAATTTAAGTTATGTAATAATCAGTCTGTAGACATTATGCATGACTTATTAGAAGGTGTTATACAACTGGAACTTAAATTATTTTTAAAATTTCTTATTTCAGAAAAAATCATAACCCTCGAAGATATTAATGACAGAATAAAATCTTTCAATTTTGGACATAATTATCAGTGTACTAAACCAAGCCCCATAAGTCTTGATAAACTAGGTAATTCAATAGGCCAACGTGCCGCACAGACTTTCTGTTTATTGAAGTTCATACCTTTAATTTTATCGGATAAAATACTATCGTTATCCGAACAACACCAGAGAAAATACCAAGTTATTCAATTAATTCTAAAAATTGTTAACATAGTATTTTCTACAGTGAATACAAAAGTAAGTGTTTCTGAACTAAAGGAATTAATTAGGCAACATCATGAATTAGTTATAAAAGAGTACAATATTAAGAGCATTCCTTCCAGAGTTCGTCCTTGAGAACGGACAATTTGCCCTTGCTGTCAACACCGACTCACTTCTAATCGCATGTCATAAAAACGTCCAGCTTACCAACCCTATAGTAAGAATAATTTATGGATCCAACCCATTGAAAGACACTCATTTCTCTCGGTATCGGATTCTGTATAAATTCTTAACTAATAATTTGTATTTTGCCGTTATTTAATTTTTTTCTGCCAGTGATATTATATAAGTAAAGTCGTTCGGTAATTAATAATTTAACTGTTAATAATGGTATTAAAATGTTGTATTTTAATTTACTTTTCACATAAATAGTTATTTATGCAACTACTGAGTAAAGTGTATCTTTTTTTTACGAGAAGGAAAATTTGTTGCACGAGTCGAAGGCGAATGCACAAATCCGCCGAGTAAAAAAAAGCCACTTTACTCAGTAGTCGCATACAAAATTTTTTTCGCGTTCGTAACAAAACTCAACACCCACCAACTTCAAAAACTTTTTATTTTGGAACATAGATATTAAATGTAGCCGTATTTGCTGTCTTGACAATTTTTTGTGTTTATGAATTATCATAGCAACGTCAGGCTTCTATGTTTTATTCCGTTAAAAAATGACACGCTACGACACTTTTTTTCACTCAAATGCGTGAAAAAATGAACCGCTATGACACTTTTTTTCACGCTTCTATACCGCACTGTATAACACAAATCATACTGTCAAAACAAATTTTTTAAGTGTCTTAACTTACCTCACTCTAATAAAAAGCAGGTTAGTTGTAGTCTTAAAAAATTGGTCTAAAGAGTTTAGACAGTACCTCCCTCGCTGTCGGCCTATTATGGTTTTTTTCGCATTAGATTTCAAACAATTCGGTTTTATAGTTCTTGATTAAATCAATAAAATAAATTTACGCATTCATTAAAATTTTTGAGTCACCCTGTATATCCAAATCCAAAAAATATAAATGGAATGATAAATTACAAGAAGAGACTCATCATATTTTGTACATTTTAGATAGGATTATGCCGCAAAATTTTGGGGTGACGTCATCCATTTTTTAGGGGGGGATGAGCAAATCTATTTTGATCAAAAATTTGCCATGCTTATCATAAATTTAAAACATTTCCAAGATTTCAAAGCATTCGGTTTTGTAGTTCCTGATTAAATCAATAAAATAAATTCACGCATACATTAATTTTTTTGGGTCACCCTGTATATGCATATCCAAAAAATATGAATGTAATGATAAATTACAAGAAGAGACTCATCATATTTTGTACATTTTAGATAGGATTATTCGGCAAACTTTTGAGGTGACGTCATCAATTTTTTGGAAGGGATAAGTAAATATATGTTGACTAAAAATTTATTATGCTCTTTATAACCTTAAAACATTTGCAAAATCTCAAAGCATTCGGTTCTGCAGTTGCTGATTAAATCAATAAAATAAATTCACGTATTCATTAATTTTTTTGGATCACCTGTATATGCATATCCAAAAAATATGAATGGAATGATAATTCACAAGAAGAGACTCATTATGATGAGTCTCTGATTTAAAATGAACAAAATATGTTTTGTACATTTTAAATAGGATTTATTCAGCAAAATTTTGGGGTGACGTCATCAATTAAGGGGATAACTAAATATATTGTGATTATAATTATATCATGCTTATCATAACTGTAAACCATCTGCAAGATTTCAAAGCATTCAGTTTTGTAGATTCCAACTTAAATGTCAAAATGAATTTCCTAATTTTGATTGTTTTCCGAAAATCTGGACGTTTCTGGCAAAATCTCAATTCGGAGTCATAAAGTACATGGAAAGACTATGCTATTTGATACAATTTAAAACCCAATTATTATGTACAATTTTGAAGTGACGTCATCACATTAGTGGTGGGGATGATTAGACAAATTTTGGTTAGCGTTTTATCATCTACATGATATACCTAATATAAATACAAAATTTGACAACAATCAGCCCAGTACTTTCGGAGATTATCTGTCTAATAAAAATCCGAGACGGCAGACAGACGGACAGACAGACGGAAACGGGAGACCTATTTCTTCGTCTTCTAGGCGTCATGAAAGATCGAGAAAATGTAAAAGTAGAGAGTCGGCCGACGGACTCGATTACAATACTTCCTTTGCTTACGCTCGGGCAGTAAAAAGACTGTTTTGTTTAAAATCCAACGAAATAAAATATACGAAAAAAAAAAAAACACAAGACAAGACACACAGCACTAGACAAAATTCAACAAGTAAATGGTGTGGTAACTAGACCGAACAAACAGGTAAATTTGGACCAGTAATTTGCAAGGATATTATTTATTCTCAGAACACAGAAACTTATTGTATATTTACCTACACAGTAATCTCTCGCAATTACAAAAACCCAACTGTCCGGATCCTTTAGAAGGGATTGCCATAAATCAACCCAGACACAAATGGCGGCTAATTCTGATGGTCTGTTGTAAATCAAAATAAGACGAATAAATTTCAGATAGTTAATCGTTACGTCTTAAATACTCAATTATTTATTAAAATTTTAAGTTCCGATTTTCAGCAAACTACTTTTAAACATAGTATCTCCACGACCGTTTTTGCAAATTACTACTTTTCGATTGATAAAGCCTTAAAGCTAAACCTATGATATTTGGTCTAATTATGCCCTTAATTTCGAAATGATACCGAACGAAAATTTAAATTTTTCTAAATCCGTTCTGTTGAGAATATTAAGAACATTACATACATATAAAATTTTAGTCAATATTGTTGATGGTTCGCTAGATATTTGTTCGGGTAGATGTATTGAATCTCCCATAAGAAAAATACGGAAGGAATCCTCTTAATTTAACACCCAAACATCATTTCATGATACATTATCCTTACATAATCTTAAAAATGGGACCTCTAATAGGCTTGTGTTGCATGCGTTTTGAAGCCAAACATGGATATTTTAAAAATCTCGTGACCAAGTTAAAAAACTACAAATCTTTATGCAAAACTCTGAGCTTTCGACATCAGGAGCACATATGGCACCAATGGAACAACATAAATTTAGGTTATCAACCATTATACGGAAAATGCAGTCAAATTAATTACAAAAATAAATTATATTCTGTTTCATTAAAACATTTTGTTGATTCAATACTTGGTGTTGAAGACAATTATTCCGTAACTGTTACAAATTCGGTAACTGCCTTCAGTACTTTCTTCCAAAAGAAAATGTTTGTTACATTAGAACACGATGAAAAATACCCACTTTTTTCCGAGATAATTGAGTTACTTATTATTAATAATAGTCCATATTTAATTTGTACGACTTGGGATACAATTACATTTAACGAGATTTATCAAGCTTACATTATACGCAGCCCTAATAACACAATATTTGAAATTGTTGACTTGAAAAGTGTAAATCACTTTGTCTCATATGAGTTACATCATCCTTTTGGTAGCAATATTAATGCAATTGTTCCTAAGTATTCTATATTATCATAAATGTAAATGTACAATAATTTGTTATCTGTGTAAAACCTAATTCGGGAAATCTATTTGTTTTCTATGAATGTATATTGTATTTGTATGAAAATAAAAAAATATAAATAAATGAGTTTTATTATTAAATCATTGGGACTTCAAGGGTGGGTAATTTGGCGATACAATTTGGTCAGAAGAACAAAATTACTTAGTTAAGTAACCAACAAGGGGCATGAACATTAACTACAATAAAATGTAAAAGTAACAAAATAACTGTTAAGTTAACAAAATGATAATGCCAAAATACATCCAAGACATCAGAATAAGTGCAGTACAACCAGTTTATTTTGTTAGAAGAACAAAGTTCACTGGTTAAAATAACTAGCAAATTTGATAATGTATCACTTTCGAGCTTGTCAAAAGACCACAAACTAGATGGTTATTGACTATACGCAAAAACAAACGAACACGATAATTCTTGCAAAATCAACAGCTTATGTTGTTAAAAATTCAGTTAGTGGCAGATATGTTTGCAAAAACAAATGGTACGAGCAACAATATAAACGTGCAATACAATCAAAAATGTTTCTAATCCATAGGCTAATGTAGTTGTATTCATACTACGATAATGTTAATTTAAACAACGGTAAGTAGAATACTTAACAATAAAACAACTGATTTTGAACTAAAGGCATTGCTAAATTTTACGAAATTAATTTAGTAAAAAACTGCTTTAAGCCATGTGGTCAAATTAACTAAAAAGATGTAGTGGACCTATTTGAGCAACATTTTGTAGTTGGATCAACTCTACATTTTTTACTGTGTAAATAGATGAAAAAAATGTGAGGTGAAACGTACCATTTTACTTTCTACTGATTTCAATTTAGAAATTTCATCTAAAACATCCGATAACCCAATCCTTAAACCCCAGTCATTCGGATGAGAATTGAATTCGAAATAACAAAATATGCTTTTGGAATTACCAAAATTTTTATTTGATAAACTTAAAATAAATTTTAATTATAGATCAATAAATAAAAATTAAAGAAAAAAATTCTAAAATGATGTCATTATTATTTTAGAGGGCAACAAACGAAAATAATATGAT